GTTCAGAATTCGGAGGATAATCTAACGAGTTGAATTAGGTCAAATTTAGAAAAAACACCTATCGACTAAAAAAACGTAGGAATTCAATTACAAGCGGAGGAATTAGATTTATACAAGATATACTATTTAAGAAAAGAAATACGAGATAATACAAATTTAGAATTAGGTATTAAAAAAACGATGTTCAAATTAGATTGTGAACCTCTACCATGGAAAAAATTAAGAAGAAAATCAAAGATAGATAAAAAATATTCGGAAAATTTTGAGAATGACACTAGACAAAAACGATTATGGAAATTGAGACCTGAGAAATCCATGTTGAGAAAAATCTAACTACGAGTTCCAGATTACGACTCTTGCTCACGAATTACAAGTATTAAGAACCCTACAAAACACGAATTCCACATTAAGGATCACTTACATCCAGAAACCATCTGAGATCTCATGAATCAAATTTAACCAAAACTAGACAAAACAGAGGAGACAACCACAACTAAGAAAAATCTGGGAAGAATCATGACGAATCAGAAAATTCACTATTGACAGCAATTTCAGATCATAAGACAACCTGGCCAAGCGCGAGTTGAATCATGACCTAGATCCAATAGAGAACAACCTCCCGTCCCTTCTACCTCAACCAAGCCACTAACCTCACGCCCCTCAAACCCTACCCCTGCGTCTCTGGGGGAGGAAAACGTCCGTCCTCCCACTGCTGACATCACAGCTCAAAGCAAAACAAGCACCAAAGACTTGAAAGGCCATCCTCAATCCCCCAAAGGAGATCGAACACAGTGTAGCACCCCCTCGCCAAGCCCGTTGACGAGTCGCCACAGGGGGTTCAAGACCACCTAAACTCTACCCATACCATACCGTCGAGGAAGGAGGGGGGTTTTAGAAACAAGGACGACCAAATCTGCCCCATCCTCCTCCCCCCTACCTTACCACCCATGACCATTCCCCATCACTACCCAACACGTCCCACCTCCTCCCACGAGCCACCACACCCCGCCGTCCGCCTCATCGCCAACTCTCCCACGCGTGCCCTTTACTCACCTTGCGTCCACCTGCAGCTTCACCCACCGCGTTGCCTGGCTCTTCAATAGCTCCCACGCCGCGCCGCCTCGTTGCCTAGCTCTTTGATAGGTCCCGCGTCACGCCGCTTCATCTCCGAACTTGCTCCAACGGGGGCGCAGCGGTCCCGGTCGCGCTGCGCCCCTTGAGATTTCATCTTATAGCACCCTATGAACGTGGGTTGAGAGAAAGTCGTGCCTGAAAATAATTAATTTTTGCGATGGAACTCAAAATCGGGCTAGATGGAATACAATAACTCAGCCCAAAAAGCTGCAAGCCGCGGGCTACGTGTCGTAACTTTGAGTCAAAAGTCTGAAAGGAGGGTCAAGAGTCACGCCCGAAGTATGTGAAATGCCTGGGTAAAGGCCTAAGGTCAAGGGGTACCCAAGGCAGGGCCAATAACAACATCCAGAGGCCCCACGCGCTGTAGTTGACTCTTGGAAAAAGCATGGGAATTCAGGCCCAAAGTCAATCAACCCATTGGTCAGCCACGACTGTCAATCAGGTGCACATCATTTGTTGTCTGCAGGTATCCAAAAGATACCAGTTCCGACTGGGAAAAGGTACCACTGCTCCAAAGCTGCATCCAAGTAAAATCTGGAGCATCGCCCTTTTAGAGGGGAGGCCGGTCCACGCCAGTCAACACCGGTCACTGCTACAAAAGGATGGTTAGACATTGGGGAGGGCATCCTGCCTTGCGCTGGCCTGATGCTAGTGTCGTGACGTTAGGCTGTTGGAGCTGTATGCTGGCACCAGATGCTGGGAGCGGCCGCCAGCCTTGAGGGTGATTATGTTGGCGCGACCAGAACCGGGTAGATGTGGCCTAGGTGGTGAACGTTGGCAAGGAGGAGGAGGATCAGAGTTGTGAGACTCTTACGACATCGGCTTAGAAAATATCCTTTAGAATCAATTGATTCTGGACTATTAGTTCAGGAAAAAATTAGTGAAGTGTTTGGGTATAACTCTCAATAAGGGCAATATTCATGAATAGAATAATCAATGATAGAGAGGTGGGGAAGCTTACCTGGGCTTACCTGAAGTTTTCTATGTTGGACATATAATGAATGAAGGACTAAGGCCAAAAGAAAATAAGATTACAACAATAAGAGATTGGCCCAGACCAAAGACTGTTAGTGAGTTGCCATCTTTCCTATAGCTTATTATAGGAATTTGTAAGAAACTTCTTCATTATAGCTGCACCTATGAAAAAATTGTTGAAGAAAGAAATGCCTTGGTTATGGGACAAGGATTGTGAGTCTGCGTTCAAGAAACTTAAGTACGTACTAACTCACTACCCTGTCTTAAAGATTGCAGATCCTTCACTTCCCTTCATTGTCACGACTAACGCAAGTCTGTACGGGATTGGGGCAATGTTACAATAGGATGATGGGAAGGGCTATAGATCAGTTGAGTTTATGTCTAAACTTCTACCCTATGATAAAGTGGCCAACTCTACCTATGAGAGAGAACTATATTCCTTCGTAGAAGCTCTAGACACTTGGAAACACGACTTGCTTGGTAGAGACTTCATGGTCTACTCAGACCATTCGACCTTGAAGTCGATTAAGACACAATCACGACTTTCCAACAAGCTACTGCGATGGTCTGCCTTCATCGACACCTTTGACTTCGAGTTGAAGACAATCAAAGGTAAGTCTAATGTGGTGGCTGATGCCTTTGGAATCATAGTTACCTACCTGGACATCGGGACTGAGCTAAAGGACAAGATTCGCGTTGGGTACGTTGGGGATCTTATTTGAAGTCCTATCATCCGCAACCTATGAAAAAAACATGAGCTCTTTCCTGATTATCATCTGAGAGATGGTATTCTCTTCTTTGCAGATAAAACTGAAGAAAGAATCTGTGTGCCTTACAAAGATGAAGGCAAAAGTTTGATATTGGGTGAATGTCATGACACAAAAGGACTTTTCGGGTTCAAGAAGGCGTATGCCAATGTGTGAGAGTTATTTGAGTGGCAAGGAATGGAGAATGTACTGGAACTTGTCTTGTCTGTCAGAGAAACAAGCCATCTCATCAGAATCCACTGGGACCATTGCCTATTCCAAATGAACCAGGTGAGTCTTTCTCAATTGACTTTATGAGCCTCACTAAGAGTCGGAATAGGAACAGCCAAGTAACGGTCATTGTGGATGGGTTCTCTAAAAATGGTATGTTCATTCCTTGAAAGCTAGAACGGAACTCGTCATCCAAAAGTTTCTGATGCGATTGGTTTCAGAATATGGATTTCCGAAAACCATTGTGACTGATCGAGATGTACGGTTCATATGACAACAATGGCAAAAGTTGATGGAAATCTATAGCACCAGGTTGACTATGTCGTCAGGTGGACACCCTGAAACAAATGGGCAAACTGAGCAAATGAATTGTCTGTGCCAACAAATTTTGCAAATATATGTAAGACCAGAGCAAGTTGATTGGGACGCAAACTTACCCAAGATCACGAGTGTATATAATAACACATTATAACAGTGTTCACACTGTAATCGGGCGAACACCCAATGCACTACACAAGCGTTGGAAGCGGAGATGCCCTATTGATGCTTTGACAAGGGAACAAGTTCAAAGGCGGAGATGCCCTATTGTCTACACAAGCGTTGGAAGCGGAGATGCCCTATTGATGCTTTGACAAAGGAACAAGAGAATTTGCAGTTTTGTATGAATAGGATATTGCAAAAGTCAAGGAGAACATACAGAAAGCATAACAAGCTAACAAACACCGAAGACCATCACAGTTCAAAGAAGGGGGATTTGGTGTGGGTAAAATCGAACGAATTCTCTCTTGAAGAAGGAATATCCAGAAACTGCTACCTGTCTACTATGGACCTTGGGAGGCCATCAAGGTGCTCGCGGACCATCTTACCACATTGATGTACCCCCGCACTTAAAGACATACCCTGTCTTTCATACCTCTAAGTTGCTACCTTATGTAGAAGGCCACGAGTTTCCTAACAGGCCATCTATGTTCCCACCTTCAATAGATGGAAAGTATGAAGTTGAAAAGGTACTGGAACACGGGTCCTTCTCAACAGGTGGCAGAGGACGACCGCACAAGCAGTTCAACGTAAAGTTCACAAACCAACCTCAATCTTAGGCTAGATGGTTTAGAAACAACTTCTACCTACTGCACCCAATATAGTAGCACCCTATGAACGTGGGTTGAGAGAGAGTTGTGCCTGACAATAATTAATTTCTGTGATGGAATTCAAAATTGGACCGGATGGGATGCAATAACTTAGCCCAAATCTGCAAGTCGTGGGCTACATGTAGCCACTTTGGGTCAAAGGCCTGAAACAAGGGTCAAGACTCATGCCCTAAGTCTGTGGAATGCATGGGTAAAGGCCTAAGGTCAAGGGGTACCTAGGGCAAGAGCAAAAACAGTGTCCAGAGGCCTCACTCACTGTAGTTGACTCTTGGAAAATCACGACTCGACCCAATCACAGGAAATCTGGCCCAAAGTCAAAGTCAACCTGCTGGCCAGCGACAACCGTCGATCAGATGCACATCATTGGTTGTCTGCAGGTATCCGAAAGATTCAAGTTCTGACTGGGAGAAGGTACCACAGCTTCAAGGCTGCATCCAGGTTGTCGAGATAAGGAAAATCTGGAGCGTCGACACTGTCAGAGGGGAGACTGGTCCACACCAGTCAACACAGGTCAACGCTACAAAAGGATGGTTAGACACTGGGAAGGGCATTCTTCCTTGCACTGGCTTGATGCTAGTGTCGTGACGCTGGGCTACTGGAGCTGTATGCTCGAGCCAGATGCTGAAAGCAGGCGCCAGCCTTGAGGGCGATTGTGTTGGCACGGCCATAGCTGCGTAGACGTGGACCAGGTGGTGAATGTTGGCGAGGAGGAGGGTCAGGGGCTGTGAGACTGACAGGAGAGGTGGCGAAGCTTACCTGGACTTACCTGGCGACGACACGTGTGATCTGCTGCTGTCTCACAAAGGTGAGGAAGTGCTGCGCCATCCTCCATATCTGACCGCTGCCGTGGAAGGAGGATGGGCGCTCTGTTGTGATCTGCACAGTAATTATGTCAGAGGATGTCAGAGGGAATATGCACTGCTGAGGTGGCGTTAGGGGAGAAGCCCGAAGTGGAGTAGAGAGAGGTAGACATACATGTGCTATTAATTATCATTGAGACTCTCCTCCTCTTCTTTGTCTCATCTCTCCCCTTACTCTTCTCTCATGCTCTTCTTTGACGGGAAAATACTCTTTAATTATGCATATGATCGAGACTTGGACTTGTAATTGACGATCGCAGACTTCATGAGTCACGCGGGGTTCAGACTTCCATTGCATTGCTGATTGGCTTTCCAACGAGACTGGGTTCATTCCAAAGTAGCAAGACAAATTTAATTTGCTCGTGAACTAGCCACAATTCAGTGTGCTACTATGCCCTCAACAACCACAGTCTATTGCACATCAGTAGTGAAAGATAGCTTCCCCCACCTTGCCATTGAGCACATACGAATAAAATTTGCACCATCAATAGTAGAGAGATTTTCGACACCAGAAAAAATAACACAATAAAAATTGACCCCCCAGAATTAGAATCAATGAACAACTGAATGCAGGTGAAACCATCCGTAGCCACGAAAGTCACACAGAATGAAATATACCTCCAATCCTTCTCTGGCTTCTTTGGAATGCCTTGCTCAGTGTCCGGTGCGTTGTCCGACTTCCCACCACAAGCCCCATGTTCGATTTGCTCCATTTCAACTCCCTCCTGGATTTGGCGAGCTTTCAATTCTTAGTTTTCTATCACGTTCACACCTGATAGAAGCCTCCCACGTTCGAAATGTTTACCCTCCTCTTCACCAGGATGATGGGGATAGAGCCCCATCGCAGCATCTTCAGTACTCACTCCTGGCATTTGGGAAATAGGTTTGCATGCATTCTCCACTCCGATGGGCTCCTCACCTCCCCCTTCACAAGCGTTGTCTATCCTTGCTCCAGTTTCCTTCTCGGTACCTGATACTATCATCCCAGTCCCTCCTGACAAGCCAGAAAAGCCTTCATCATCCGCGCTCGATGGCAGCATATCTGTTGTAAGCAGTTCACTTTTGCTGTCAACAACCTGAGTCTCCTCCCCTTGTATCTGACACACCCCATCTGCAGGGGATGGCTATCTCCCAAGAGTCCCAACCTCCTCCGCTTCTGCACCCTTTGCTCCACTCTCTCCTTCCCCTTGGCTTGCTCCATCCGCCAGGGATGGCCCCTTCCCAACCCCCTCTGTTTCCATGGCAAGTTCTGCACAAGGAGCCTTCTCAGAACCCAACAAAACTTCCGCAGCGTGTGAGGAGTCTGGGGACCTAGATTCCACTCCTCCGGCCATCGCCAGCTCTGGCCAAAGCTGCATCTCTCCCACCTCAGCAAGACCCGATTCGCCAAACTTCACGTTGGTGGCAGTACCTCGGGGCGCAGACAAGCTGCTGTTGCTCTCTCCTGCTCTGAAGTTGCCAACGTTTCTCATATCGAGTGCCGTGTCCGTAGTGTCTGAGTCTGCCAATGCACACTCTCGCACTCCTTGCTCGGAAATGCCTGCCACAACTCTCACTCTTGGTGCATTCTTAGAAGCGTCCTCAACTTCCTGGATAGCTGTAGACAGCTTACGAACACTCAAAACCACTGTGTCATCCTCCCCCTCTTGTGAATCATCACTCAAAGAGACATCAATTTCACCTTCTCTTATACTCCCACTTTCTTGTTCATTTCCATCTTCTTTCCCAGCATTTCCTGGGGTTTGCTGATGGAAAGGACCATTAGTACATAATAAGCGTCCAGACTGTGACAACTTGTCACTTTGCCTCCCTCCTTTCCCTCTCTCCTGATATGACACTCTGAGCACCCCAGCTACTTCATCATCTGGCACCGATGGCTCCTCAAGCTGGTGTTGCTGGAACAAATCTAGTCCTTCGTTGTCCTGTCCAAATGGACTTTGCCTAGTTTGACCCTCTGGGAACACGTTTTGTATGTTCCCACCCATCTGGAATGAGCCTTGATGTTGAGAGCGATGCCTGCTTGAAGCATTAACATCAGAAAATGACTCGACATTAATCAACGAAGCATCTACCAAACTATGAGAACTGGATGACGTGGAGCACAGTGGATCCTTTCTACCTACTGGCTCTGACACGTCAACTGCGGTACCTCTCCATGCCGAGTGTTCAGCCAGTTGCCCAGATATGCCATCCAACTCAGACTGCCAACCAGACAAAGCAGTCTGACCTGTCTTTCGAACATATCTGCCCTCCTCATTTCCATCAGCATCACTCCCATCATCATCAAATAACCCTTTGTCCATTATTGTTCTCGAACTGGCAGCAGCCACCTTTACATCATTCCAATGATTAATCCCCATGCCCAAGGCCCTGTGCCCTGTGTCCCATAAATCTCTGCTGTCCTCACCAGACACAGACCTTTCATGTGACCCAGACCGATTTTCAAAACGAGCCCTGCCTTCTTGGTGCACTGGCGGTTTGCCGGAATCCCTTACCGCAAAATCTCCTTCCACATGTTCATCATCACTAAACAAGCCGCCTCTACTTATCACAACTCTCCGAGTTCTCTGTTGTTGAGGTGCAGAACTAACACTTGTGCTCAAACTGCTTACACTCTCTCTCTCTGTTGCCTGGTCATGAAACCTGTTGGCATCCCAGCTTCTCCGATCCTCATCACTCTCATCGAACAATCCCCTATCATCTCCCAAAAACTCTATTGCAACTGCCAGACTCCCGGCTGCTCTGCTTTCCACAGCTCCCTGTCCAATGTTTGCCCTGTTCATCCCTCTGCCTCTCCGCAAACCACCCTGATCAATGTCCGTCTTAGCCAGTGTATCCACAGTTGCTGAAGGCTGTTCCAAAACACCCCTCGATGAGTCAGAAATTGAAGTAACAACGTTCTTTCCCACCTCATGAGTTCTTTTCTGAGTATCTTCGGCAACAGCTTTTTCATCCCCACTCAACAACTCAGGTAGGGCTGACCCCATCTGAGATGCTTCACAACATAAGTCATTGTAAGTCAATATGTAGGATGGCTTTTCCTGCAGCAAACAGACGACAGAAATGCAATGAAAAAGATAAACAGTATAGAACAAAAAACACTAAGTGGGGATAAAGTACCCACCAACCAGAAGACAGACCACCAACTCCAATGCAAGCCATCGCCGTTTGACTCACTCCCGAATTAATTTTGTACAAGGGCACAAGTGGTTGAGAGGTAACCCCACTTGCTGGTGCCAGTTTTTTCTGGTACCTCTCATTATTGAAACTTGTGCATGCCCGCCACAGACGTGGCGGGGACCACGAGGGAAGAAATATCAGGGACAATGTGTACCTTGCCACGACCAGGGAGCAGTTTGGGTCTTTTCTGTGTTTGATGAGTAGTGAACGTCACTGCCAGATTTGAGGTTACCAAACTTGGTTTGTAACGTTAACTCTCTAGCTCTTCTCTCTTCCAACCCCGTCCCTCCTCCCCCGCCCCCCCCCCCACCGTCCCGTCGCACCCCACTCCACCCAACAACACATATTTTGGTTTTCCGGCGTCCTCCAGAGCATGGAAGATACACCACCATATTTGTGATCTTTCGTGTAGCAAAGTGTGTCCTTGTAGTCTTTTGTGCATGTGGCAAGCAGTGGAGCGAGGTCCTGTGCAGTTCGAAAATGAATCTTCCGCTAGAAGATGGGAAGATACACCTCTATATTGGGATGAATCTTCCAGTGGAACATGGAAAGATACGTGACCATATTCGGTATGTGGCAAGCAGTGGAGCGAGGCCCTGCATAGTTCGGAAATGAATATCCCACTAGAACATGGGATGATACACCACCATTTTGGGAGGAATCTTAGAGTGGAATATGGAAAGATACACTGCCATATTTAGTAAGCAAATAGTGAGCGAGGCCGAGTGTCATTCATATCCGAGGAAAACAAATCTTCTGCTTTAGAACATGGGAAGATACACTGTGAAATGAACCAAATACTCGTCAAAGTCCACCTTGCATACATCAATGGGCATTCACATGAGAGTTCACACGTGAGAAGCCAAACCGAAATACAATCAATACATGAAGAAGCTGCTTCCAAACTTTATTATCAATATACAGGAATTGTTTATGTCACCAGCGGCACTGCCGCACTCACACACACACACACCCGGGTGGCGACTATGGCTTCTCTCTTCCCCACTCTCTCTCTCTCTCTCTCTCTCTCTCTCTCTCTCTCTCTCTCTCNCTCTCTCTCTCTCTCTCTCTCTCTCTCTCTCTCTCTCTCTCTCTCTCTCTCTCTCTCTCTCTCTCTCTCTCTCCCCCCCCTCAGTCTGAGTCTTCTCTGTTACTTGGTCCGCTCTGCCTCACTGTCTGCCTACGCTCTACCTCCACCCTAGATCGTTGCCCTTGATACACCCGCTCAGGTAAGCTTCCTCCTAGGCAGATATGGCCGCTGGTCCCCTCCTCCTACTCTAGCTATGGAGAGACCAGGCGCCTTCTTCCTCCTCCTGGCGCAAAGTGCCCAAGTTGCATTAACACACGAGCAGAAGCAGCCCTTCCACATCTTGCAAATGCACAAGTGATGAGCCGCTGCACTGTAGCACCTAAATATAGGACTTGCTTGGTTTGGCCTGCTTCGGACCGGTATCGGTCGGCCGAGGCCTGTCTGCTGTAAACATTTTGTCGGTCCGGTACCTTCCAGACTTTCTTGGGACATGCTGCAACATTGGACTTGGGACTGTTGGACTGGACTGAACTGGACTTTATCTTGTCAGGTACAGGACTAACTTTCACCAACCTGTGACGTTTGGGAACCGACACCTACCAACCTACGACGCCTCAGCCTAGAGACCCTACGCCCTACCCTACTGAGACAGCCTGGAACCTGGGCTGTCTGGGACTGTTTGGGACCCTGGTACCAGGACACAGGGGTGTTTACAGCGTGAATCCTTTCAACTGCCATATTTTTTGCCTTTTGTGCATGTGGTAAGTAGTGAACCTTCCAATGGAACATGGAAAGATACATGACCATATTTGGTACTTGGAAAGCAGTTGAGTGAGGCCCTGCGTAGTTCGGACATGAATATTCCACTAGATCATGGCATGATACGCCACTGTATTCGGAGGAGTCTGAGAGTGGAATATGGAAAGATACACCACCATATTTAGTAAGCAGATAGTGGAGTGATGCCGAGTGTGATTCATATGAGAGAAAAAACAAATCTTCCGCTTTAGAACATGGGAAGATACACTCTCAGATTTTTTGTTTTCCGTGCATGTGGTAAGTGGTGAAGAGAGGCCCTGTTTGAAAAATGAATCTGCCGCCACAACATTAGAAGATCCACAGCCATGCTTTTTCTCTTTTGTACATGTGGTGAGTAGCGGAGCGATGCCCTATGTAGCTGTATTCAAACAACTGAAGGAGCATGGCCTCCTTTCGCGCACCTGGAGCTGAAAGGAAATTGCATGTGAAAACGAAAAAGAAAAAAGACCACTTGAACTGAAAGGAAATCGGGCGTGAAGACGACAAAGAAAAAATACCACAAGAAGGAAATTGGGCGGGCAAACGACAAGAAAAAAAACGCCACCTACGGACACGAAACAACGCAAAAACGACAAAGGAACACACACAAAATAACGCGGCGTGAATCACGCAAAAGGAAAAGGAAAAATGCGCCCTCAGGTTTTCGTTGGGCCCGCCCCTTGTCCCCGCCCTTTTCCCGACACAGGACAGCCGGGCCTCGCGGGAGCATCATGTGCGACCCGGCTTACACTTTAGTAAGCGTATGAAAGTATAGACAGAAAAAACAGAACGTCCACATAACAACACCCAAGAGGCCAAAACGGATGTATTGCTATTCAGGGGAGCAACTTTTTTTGTTTCTTAACAAACACTTTTTCGGGTGTTACATACTTCGCATGAATGAGTAGACTGGATGTTGGAGTCTCCAGAGTCGTGGTCGCGGGAAGATACAGAGAAGAACGAAACACGGTTGTGCATGAAAGGCAAACCACCAAAGAGTATGTAGAATTGAGAGCAAAGGGGATAAGATCGCAACATTGACTCAGGCGGCGGGTACCAATAGAAAGTAGTATTGTGCATGTCAATACAGACCGTTCAGGTCAAAGAAGTGTTCAGGCCTCAGTTCTGTAAGACAACTCCTATTCTTCAGCCCCAACACGGCCCATCTGGTGACTTCAGATCAAGGCCAGTCCAAGCACATACATTCTGTGCACGCACAATCGCAGCCAAGACCCGCACAACTAGGATTTTGCATTTCCCAGGCTGTCACACGTGCACTCCAGGTATACAACAGGTACGAGATCAAGATTATAGCGGTATCATCAATCCAAGCACTGATCACAAGGATGATGTCAAGCCAATACCACGGCTTGCACTTCCTGTCCTCCACATCCCTCGCACTGCTCATCTTGCTCATCCCCCCCCCTCCTGCTCCGCCCTTCAATCCTCATCTAGTTCCTTCTTCCCGTACTGCTGCTTGTCCCCATCATCCTCATCCCCCATCTTCTTCTCCTCCACCTCCACGGACTCTACTTGTTCCGCTGCCTAATTATCATCTCTCTCTCTCTCTCTCTCTCTCTCTCTCTCTCTCTCTCTCTCTCTCTCTCTCTCTCTCTCAATTTATATGCTTAGTTCCCCATTTTTTGGGCCTTTCGATTTGAGCCAGGTACCTCTATTTGCAGCCATACTCGTCTTCTTTCTTACTCAGCATGCATGAAAACAGATGGCAATCTCACTGGCGCCAGGCGCCCGCACAAAGCTCAGAGATATCAAGGCCGAGAGCACAGTTCAGATTCAAACTTGCTTCGAATGGCTATGGCGCCTGTGCGCCCTCACAACACCCTTCCGACACTGTATCCACAGCAACTGTTCACACACACGCTACTCTGGATCTCCCTGGATGTCCCACACATGCACACACTTCACTGGACACTCACACACATACACGCTATAGCCTATCTTCTAACCTAGAGCAGCTATGGCTGCCTCCTACTCTCGGCTACTAGCGGCTATGGCCGCTTCGTCTTCCTCACTGCCCTCTTCTCCCTCCGGCACCTGCAGACCTCCTTGCACAAGTTGTTCAGGCAGCGCTTCCCCACGGCTCACAGTATGAATGAATAAATAACTGGACACTGCCTCTTGATTTATACTTCGGTTGGCTGCTGGTCTGCTCCTTTCCACCGGGCCTAGGGTGCACACAGTCCCACGTGGTACTTGCTAACTGGACAAAGTGCAACTGGGACTGGGTACCGCTGACTAGGCAAGGTTGGACTACCCACTTGCCTCTAGCCTAACATGAACAATATTTGAAAGGCCACTTCCAGACCTTCCAGAAATCTGTAGACTTGGCCTTTTGGAATTGTAGCAGCTACGACCTTGACCTTTCAGGACTGTGGCAGCTACGACTTCTACACAGCTACGACCCCTACTTGACAGAACTCCAGTTCAAAACCCAACGACTACACAAACCTACGACAGACAACAGACAACTACCATGACATAGGTCACGGATTCAATCACTCAGGGGTTGACTTGGTACTGTACACGGGTGAGGGCAAGATCTAGGGATCAAGCCCCGGGCTCTGCGTCTGCTACTGCAAAGGTGAAAACCATTTCACTCCTGCCGGCCTAAATTCGAGGTCCTCCGAGAATATGTCAATCTACACCAGGATCTTTACCTTTCCTCGCTCTTTCATACGCGCAAATTATATCGGGAGCAGTCTCTAGAAGCTCTGTTCGGGTAAACCAGCGGTCGTCTTCCGGTTCTTGATAAGAAAATCTAACTTTGTACTGTTTCTGCAGACGACCTTGACCTCCTGTTCTGAATACATCTTCACCTACGATGTGATCAATGTCGTACCTTCCGTCCATATTCGGAGGGATCATGGACCTTCTCGATGGGAATTGCTGACTTGTAGAGCAAGGCAACAACTTTGACGCATGAAAAACTGGGTAGGTGTGACGGTATGCTGGAATCTCTATGGTGTAAGACGACCCATCATCTCCGCCCTTGACTTCTAAGACTGGCCACGG